CATCACATTCCCTCCCCCTCTCCATGCAGCATCCTACCCCCACCCCTCACACTGCCATGTCACAGAACAGAATTTTCAGCAGCTGGCTTGTTCTCAAGGTAAAATGGCGAGATGTCAAAAATGGTAATGAAGGTCATCAGAAACCAGACAGCTGAGTTCCCAAACGCTGTAAGTTGACAATGTCAGAAGAGCATCCAGGAATGAGGTGGAGGGTCTGGAGGGCTTCTCTCCTTAGAAGGACGGATGGTGTGACTTCCTCTTTCTAAAACATCTCTGCATAACTAAATAGCAGGGCCCATCAATTTCTTGAAAAGAAACATCTGTGGCTTCCGTTTTAGGGTAGGAAAGGCATTCTCCTTGAGTCAGAGAAAAGATTCAAGTTATCTGGAAATCCTTTTTCTTAAGAAAATCTCTAAGGCCAGAGACCCCAAAATTCAAATTAATGATATATTCAGGGATCTCCCAACCTTTCAGTAGTGAAATTTTTATCACTTTGACCCAAAGGACTATGTACTACCCTTGGGACCTGTTCCCATTTTTTCTACCTTCAGTAAAATCAGAGTTGATGCTAACTTTAATTCACTCATTTATGTAACGGACTCGAGACTTTTGCATTAAAAATTAAACAGTAGATAATCCATAAGTAATTTCCTTTCGGCAGTGAGTATGTGAAAGCTTTTCCTTGTACTAATTTTACCTGCCTGTTTATGTTTCCTTCACCATAACACTGACCTTGGCTCTGTTCTCTGGGGGTGAGCTCTGTTCTTACTTGGTGGTAGGGGAATCTTTCTTTCTTTCTTTTTTTTTTTTTTTCCAAACATTTTATTTATCTATTTGACAGAGAGAAATCACAAGTAGGCAGAGAGGCAGATAGAGAGAGAGGAGGAAGCACACTCTCCACAGAGCAGAAAGCCCGATGCGGGGCTTGATCCCAGGACCCTGGGATCATGACCTGAGCCAAAGGCAGAGGCTTTAACCCACTGAGCCACCCAGGCGCCCCAAGGGGAATCTTTCTAAAGAGCATCAGGAACACTGCAGAAGCCAGGCCAGGAGAAACGACTCCTTTGTCAACTCCCTCCAGGCAGCAACCACGACTTTGCTTCCCACATAGCAACTTACATGCATCAATAACTTTTTTTGATTGAATGAAATAAAATCAGTTGTCTCTGTATTTTTGCTAATTCAGTGGAAAACTTTATCAAAGTGAGTGCCGAAGTGAATAGGTGGAGAGTGGTTTAACTGAAAAGATTTTTGTAATCATGGTCAGAAGTGAACGGTACTATTATCAGCGCACGATGCATCTGACGATGAGGTATTTCACAATTTGAGACACAAATGGGACCAAGTGTGTGACCCTGATAATATTTACAACACAGCTCTTTCTTTCTGTGGGACTCAAACTTTACCTGTTAAAACTACTTACAAACCAGATAATTTTTTTCTGCTGACATACCCCTTGCTAAATTTATATTCCATATGTGGAAATGGAGTCTGGAGTTTCTGAATGAACTTACTAACATACATGAATAATGGTTAAGAGCATGGAATGGTGGGTTTCAGAAATGGGGAAATGAAGCAGGAAAATCCCTTATTCAGGACATCAGACTGAGAAATAAAGCTAGATGGCATTTGACAGTATTAGTTCATCCCAGGTGCTCTTTCCATTGGCTATGAGCCAGTGCAATAAAAACGAGGCTTCACGGGATGCTCAGTCACAACCCAGACAACTGAGTATTACTCCTAAAACGTTTCAGTATCTGTGGCATTTGGGAAAATAAAAGTTTTGCCTCCTTGAGTATCTGGTTTTTATCAAATTTTTTTTTTTTTTTTTTTACAAAGTATGACTAATGCCTCTTTGTAAAATAATTGATATAAATACCTAAAACTTGGGGCATCTGGGTGGCTCAGTCAGTTAAGCATCTGACTCTCTATTTCAGCTCAGGTCATGACCTCTGGGTTCTGAGATCGAGCCCCATATCAGGCTCTATGCTGGGTGTAGAATCCACTGGCAATTCTCTCTCTCCCTCTCCCCCTCCTCCTCTGCTCCCACACATGCTCTTTCTCTCTAAAAAAACAAAACCTAAAACTTAAAAAAGATACTGTGGTTGTAGGTTTTTAATAAAGGGATTCAGTCCCAACTGCAGCCTGAGAATATCAGGGAGACTGCTGGTTTACACCGCAGCCAGCCCCTCCTGTGGAAACACAGTGTGCCAACTTTGCTATGTCCAATAGTGGGGACCCAACAGTGAAACAACGCTTCCCTGGTACCCAGCTAGGAAGAGGACTCTCAGGGGCATGTTCAATGATAGAGAAATGCTTAGGATGTCTTAAGTGGAGCTCCTGCCTGGGCCGTGTGTCCTCAGTTTGGGGATGATGGGCCGTGGAATGGGTTCCCTCCATCACGGTTAAGAGCATCACCACTCAGCCGATCCCAGGCTGGGATCCCAACTCCCCCTGCGAGCTGTGTCCTCAAGTGGACAGAGTCGGCCCTTCTCTGCTCCAGTTTCTCCATCTGCCAAGTGACCATGGTGCCCACCTCGACATGCTGTTGTGAGAATTATGATAAAATGCATGATAAGCACCTTGCATAGTGTCTGGTACTCATGAACACTCAGTAAAAAAATAAGTACAGAAAATAAGCCATTAGTTATGTCCGATTATTGTTTCTATTTTTTTATACTTTATGACAATTTACAACACTTCAGCCATACAAACAACTACCTAAGATCAACTTTGTTAAAGGTAAGTACGTAGGAAATGACAGTGACCTGGATGGAGTCGGTGGTATTAGAAAAGGTGCTGACTTGGCACAAATCTTAAAGACTGTGTATTTCAACTTGCTTGTTTTTATAGATGAGGGAACAGAGGCCCAGAATGGTGACTTCCACTGCAAGCAGAGAAGAGACCCCAGATTTCCACACTAGGCAAGGATTCACCCATGAGACCAAGGCAGGCCTCTCTTTTATGAGTGTGTATGATGTGATGACGTTAACTGAGTCAGTGGAGGAAGGCAGGGCTGTAGAGAATAGGAAGAATCAGAGACTGCCAAGGATCCCAATATGGAGACCATCATGGGGAAGTCAGTGAGAGAAGGCGTTCTGATGTGAAGGAGAGCAGATGTTTAGTTTTCAACGTTGTCCGCTTGGAGAAATATCTAAGTGGGTTTCACCTATGGGAAATTTCCTATCTAGAAGTGGAACCTTGGTGTTAGGGCTGGGCCAGGACTAAGGACCTGGGAGAAGAACACACGGAATTAAAAGATGCAGCTGTGTTCAACACACTTTCCAGTGCAAGAGACCCAAGGGTCCCGAGCTGAGCTGAGAGGGTCCGCTGAAATTAAAAAGAGAAGACAGAAATGCCACCGAGGAAGGGGAATATTGGGCTAAAGAGCCAATGACTTGGTATCAAGGTGGGCGCAACCATCATGTCTGAAATTAGGAAGGAGGCCAGGTAAAATAGTTGGAAAAAGAAACTAGATGTCCTTTGAATTTGACTAGGAGACAGCCATCAACAAATAAAAAAGCAGTTTCTGGGGTGGGAAATGAAGCAGCCTGAATCCCTTATTCAAGAAATTAGGCTAGGAAATAAAATAGGAAGGTATTTGATGATAGTTGGGAGAGATGGCAAAGTAATGGCTTATTCAAGATAAAGGACTCTATGAATATTTGAAAGCAGAAGGGAAGAGATGAAGGAGGAGAGATTAAAGCTTTGGGGAAGTAGAAGATAAACCCCGAATAAGAGTTCTCAGGAGGCAAAACAGCAAGAGATCAAGGCAAAGTTGACTACTCACTAGCATCAAATCCTCCAGACATCTCTCCCTCTTGATATGTTGAATGTTCTGAGTTTGAAGTTATGTCGGAGCTTTGGGAAGACTTAGGGTATTTATAAGGACTTGAAAGTTCCACTTACTCGATTTCATTTTATAAACGAAACAATTAATGGCAAACTGAAGTTTGGGGTCCATTTCCTCTGGTGTGGTGTGGCTTGAACTTCCCCCACGCACTTAGCACAGCTGGCATTAAGTCATTACCTGTGTTATTATTTGCTTAGAGCCTTTCCTTTTTGATGGATCTAAATAGCACACAGAGAAAGCTCACATGTGTGCTTTAATCCAGCTCCCAGCAACCTCTGCAGGGCCAAACATAGTGTGGGAGTCTGATAAATATTTGTGAAACGGGTGAATAAAGGAATGAATTAGTGAGTGGCCTCTCCCACAGAAAGCAAACTTGCATCCAGGGAGATAATGCAGGATTTGCCTTATTCTCTGGAAGTGAATCAGGCAGTTTAACAAGTGCATTGCCTCTTTAACAACCATGTGGTTAAGGACCTGGGCCTTTTCCTGAAAGCATTTCCAGTATCTTAAAAAATCATCACACACCCCAAAGATATCATGAAAACTAGTAGAAGAATCTGTCCTTGAATGCAGATAAGAAGCAAATTTAACTGGAGAGTGAGATAGTATGCAACATATTTATACTTTCTCAATGGCAATTTGTTTTTACTTTCCTATCTGTGAAATGGGAATAATCGTTAAGAGGTGTTGAACATAATTAAGATTGCAAAGTACTTTTAGCAGAGTCTGATGCATTAGGGTTAACTCTGAGTATTATTCCATCATTTACTTTCTCTAAAAGTTAAGTTTCCAACCTTGTATATTATTTTTATTATAATGCAATTAGATTACTAAGAGGGCTGACCTTTTACAGCTTTTCCATCTAAAAACCTTACTACTCATCCAAAGCTGATAAGGTCCAAGATTCAGGAGGCATTACTACATCAAGTGCAGTCTATAAATACCTGTGGACTGCCTAAATCATGATTTAATATTAAAAGAGGCTTCATTTCACCCTCACGAAAAATCCCAGGCTCAGGAAGGCTAAGCTACTTGCCCAGCCTCACCCAGCATCAGCAACTCAAATCCAAGCTTTCTGATGGCTGCCTCAAGTAATTTCGCATATCTGTAGCTGATTGTAGCTCTGATTTCTTTCTTCTTCCATCAGGAAATGATGATCAGAAGCCCTTCACAGAATGGTTTCTCATCGTGCTTGTGGCAACCATCTGCTTCATCCTGTTAATTTTCACTCTCATCTGTAAAATGTAGGTATTTTTTTATTTCAATGTTTCCAATGAGGTCTGAGTATTGAATTTTTACACTTCTGCCATGCATCCGCTAGGGTGCTTGTTAGCAGTTGGAATTACAGCACTTTGCTGTCTTTTGGACAGCCTTTCCAAGATGAGCAGGGACCAAATTAAAAAGTGAGAAACATCTTTAGGTGATTTATGGAAACCAGACAGAGCATAGCAGGGGCCCTCAGCCATTACACACCCTTCTTGAATTTGATGACAGTGTATTCATTTCTGTGAAGCTTTTTACTTTCATGTTCTTTTGATTCCTTTACTGCCTTCTCAGTGTTTGGTGTTCTTAGTTGAGCCACTAGCAGACTCCTTTTATAGCTTGGGTAAAGGAAGGCAGCCCCCTGGAGACTGAAGTCACCCCAGTGCCCACGGTATGATCTCCAATTAGGAGGTGTTGACTCCTACCTTCACCCTTTGTTCACCTGGTCCCTGAGTGGCTGACTGTCCTTTGGTCAAATACAGACTGTAGAAAGGTCATGCAGATCTGGTGAACAATCCATGAGCCTGCAAATGCCCCATAAGAACTCCTCACCCACTTTGGCTCTAAGTAAGGCAAAGAGCCATTTAGGAGGCTTAAGAACATGTTCTGTCTCAGCCCTTTCATAATTTAGAAAGTTACTTAGGTTTGAAAGAGCTTCATTATTATAAATGTTATATTCTGTGGGTTGGAGGGTGGCAGTTCAAAGCAGAGGAACACCAAAGGCAACTCTGTGAGCCAGCACGGTTGAGTGAGGGGGCTAGAGCCGGCATCACAGAGAGTGGTGGGGCACCAAGGGCTTACAAATCACCCATTTTCAGAAATTAGGCCTGAAAACATGCACCAACGTGAAGTGGTTACCATCATATCTTTCTTGGATGATTCAGAAGCCACATCATAGCCCAACTAATATTACAATATAGATAAATATATTTGTAACTCTTGGTCAATAAAGTTTTTAAATTTATAGAACAGCAGGTCCTGAGATTCAGTAGGTCAATTTGTAGAGCAGATACTGAAACACAAGAAAGGCTGCTTTGCTCACCTAATTTTCTGCTTTGCTCTGTTTTCAGAGGTCACTTATGGGCCAGGCTGTTTCCACCGGTTCCGGCACCGAAAAATAGTCTTAAAGATTTCCTTGTAATCGTCAGCCCTGAGGTAATGTTGAAGGCTCTCATGATGGGTCCTATCTGCTCGGGGTTGGGTCTCCAGGGATTAGTCATCAGGTTATTGGTTTTGCATATTCCAGGGCAGAGTGTCTATCCAGGGGGGCCAGTGACTTGATGTTGCTCTAGTCGTTCTGCTCTTTGGCTCAATATTATGTTACATAGGTTCACTACTGTCTTGGAGAATTGGAAAGGTCCTACTCAGCTATAAGTGTCCTCACCAGTCAGACTGGAATTTTTTCTATCAGCCGTCTCTTAACTGAGCTTGGGCAATTCCTTCAACCCCATGAGCCCTGACTTCTTTTTCTGTATAGTCAAGGGCCATAGATGAGATGGTCCAATGTTCTGTTTAGCTCTGATGTTTCTGCACATGGATACCCTAATCAGTAACATTTTTCAGAGTAACTTTTCCTAGTTCCTTAGTAAAAAAACAAACAAACAACAACAAAAAACAGAGAAGGCAAATGACTTCCCCAAATATGCATTTCCTGAGGCCCTATTTGCCATTCAGAGCACTTAGGCTTAACTGAATGCTCACCTACTCATGGCTGCCCAAGTGTTTTAGCATCATTTTATTGGGGAAAAAAAAAATCATCCTTTTCCCATTGAGTTGTGTTGGCATCTTTGCTGAAGATCAGTTATCTATATATGTGTGGGTCTATTTCTGGACTATCTACTTGCTTTCATTGATCTATTTGTCTATCATTATACCAAAGCAGTCTTGATTACTATAGCTTTAGTGCAAACCTAGAGATCAGGTTAGTGTAAGGCTTCCAAACAGGATTTTTTTTAAAAAAAAAGATCTATTTATTTAAGGGGCTCCTGGGTGGCTTAGTCAGTTAAGTGTCCATCTTTGGTTCATGTCATGATCCCAGAGTCCTGGGATTGAGCCCCGTATTGGGCTCTTTGCTTGTGGAGAGTCTGCTTCTCCTTCTGTCTGCTGCTCTGCCTGGCTTGTGCTCTATCAAATAAATAAATAAAATCTTTAGAAAAAAGATTTATTTGAGAAAGAGAGAGCACATGAGTGGGAGAGGCAAAGGGAGAGCGAGAGAGAGAATCTCAAGCAGACTCCATGCTGTGCGTGTAGCCCTAAGTGGGGCTCAGTCCCATGGTCCTGAGATCGGGACCTGAGCCAACACCAAGAGTTGGAAGCTCAACCGACTGAGCCACCCAGGCACCCCCAAACATGATTTTTTTCCAAAGTTTTTCTGGTCATTCTAGGTATTTTGTTTTGCATTCCCATATAAATTTTAGAGCAACTTTATTAATTTCTACCAAAAAAGCTGCTGGGATCTTGATTAGGATTGTGTTGTACTGTAGGTTAATGTGGAAAGAAGTGACATCTTAAAAATGAGTCTCCCAATCTGTAAACATGACATAGCATCATGTATCGACCATTAGATTTTCTTTATTTTCTGTCAGCAATGTTTTATGATTTTCAGTGTACAGTTATTATACACTTTGTCAAATCTGTCCTTAAATTAAGTGGTTATTTAGATTAGGGGTCAGCAAACTTTCTCTATAAAGAGCCAGATTGTAAATACCTAACAACCAAACGGATTCCCTCAACTCTTCAATGCTGCCATTGTGGTGTGAAAGTAGCCACAGACAGTATGCAAATGAAGGGGATTGGCTCTGGCCAATAAAACTTTATTTACAAAAACAGGCAATAAGCCAGATTCTATACACAGGCTACAGTTTGCAGATCCCTCATGTAGGTCAAGCTATTTTCTTAACAAATTCAGTTTTCTAACGAAGTGCTTCGTGAAGGGATGAATAAATTGGTGGTTGTAGGGCAGGTAAGGGTCAAACTCTGCCTGAAATGGATCATTTTAGTAAGCTGTGACCTTTAGAGTTTTTGATTTGGGTGTTTGGAATAATTATAGACCACAGTAGTTACAAACCTAGTCAGGCAAATAACTGAGTCAGACAGAAGAACCACTCTGTCCTTACTTCCATCCTGAGTTCGCCTTTATCAGGGAATAGGGGCTTTGCTTTTGTTAACCCATAGCTTTTCTGGAAGAACGGACCCCAGTGTGAAACTTTGTTTTGGTTTCATCTGAATTTGTGCTGTCAATCCCTCCTTGCTCCAGCATACTCATCCCTGATAAACTACATCTGATTTTAGCAGCCCACGGAAGTCATTTGTCTTGTCTCTTAATGGGACATCTTAATGCTGGTATCTAATTTCCCTATAGAGCCCCCAAAGATTTTCTTTAATGTTCTGAAGCTGGTGAAAGAAACTGGCTTAAGAGCTTATTGTATAAGCTTGTGGTTTGTTGTTAATTAAAATCAAGTCATGTGTGCAAAATAACAACTTGGGGTAGACAAGTTGGTTTCAAAATAAGCAAAGGATTAATGTCAGAGCTCAACATTGCTAGACTCCTCTTAGACAATTTACTTTCTTCTCACGTTGTTGCATTTCATGTCAAAAAAAAAAAAAAAAAAAAAAAAGACATGAGAGACAGAGACCAACAGAGATAGCAAGTAGAACTCAGAAAATGAAGTATTGCCCCATAATGTTGTCCCCCTATGGCCTAAATGCTCTACTTAGGAGAATATGCGAGCAAGTTCAGAGGTGACCACAACCTGGGCCCTATGTAGCAGTGCCCCAGCCTGTAGCTTTGAAGGTGAAGCCCTTCAGACTCACCCTCGGGGCCTCTGCTACAAGGTTGGGGGGGGTACAATTAGTGCTATCAGCAGTGATGATTTTGCATCCCACTAGGAAGCCTTTAGTGAGCGGGAAAGGAAGCTTTCTGCTTTCAGTTACAACCCGAGTCTCTGAACTTGGTGTGGGTACCCAGAGTTCTGGGATTTGGAGGATATCTGCCATCCCTGAGCTCTCATTAAGCAAGTTTTTGCTTGTTCAGACCCAAGTCAGAGATTGTTTTGTAACGTTCAAGGGAGCAGGGAGAGGTGGGAGGGAAGATGGAAGGCCAGAAGTTGACCTTTATCAATTACAAAGAAGGCAGCTTTTTGTTTAAAACAAAAAAATGTATCCTGTGTTTTAGATTTGTTACAAACCAGTTTCCAGCTGTTCCTTATTTCTACAATGGTAACCAGAGAGGGTTCCTTCCAAAATGAAGTATAAACCATCAAATTCTAGTACCTAAGGCAGAGAGCACATCTGCTCTGTTTGTCACTGCATACTCAATGCAAGGCAGTGTCTAAGGTACAACAGGTATTATAGGTATTAAAAAATGTGGTAAATGAGGGGCGCCTGGGTGGCTCTGTTGGTTAAGCATCTGCCTTAGGCTCAGGTCATGATCTTGGGGTCCTGGGATTAAGCCTGAGTTGGGCTCCCTGCTCCCTCTCCCTGACCCCCTCCCCATGATTTTGTGTGTGTGTGTGTGTGTGTGTGTGTGTGTGTGAATGCACAATGCACGCTCTCAAATAAATAAAATCTTTTTTAAAATGTGCTGAATGAGTAAACAAAGTAGAGAAATATCTCTTGTAGGTTATTTCTGTCACAGAGTTTCTCATTAATAACATTATAATGGCCCAACTTAGACAAATACATATCCAAATTTAAGGGGAAACTACAATAAACTATGAATGAAAAGTGGTAGAACTATTCAATGATGTAGCCCAAGAATATATATTTTGAAATATTACACGATGTCACACAGAAAGCAATTTATGAAGCTGACTATCCATTTGCTTCATTTAATTGTAAAGGTAACTTTGTACCTAGAAAACAGGGCTGGAGAGAAAACAATGAGCTGTGTTTGGGAGACAGGGTGGTGGATAGATTTTTGTTTTCTTCTTATTTTCCATATTTTCTTAGTGAACATTTACTATTTTTATAAGGAAAATACACTTAAGGAAATAATTGTGAAGAAATTCAAGAGAACAAAGAGGGTACTACAAGACATCTAAGGGAGGATGTTTTGTTTTACAGAAAACTGTTTCCAGTGAAACAGAAATTGAAGTCATAAGTTACGTGGAAGAGTCTGGACTTGAGACCCTGGAAGATTCTGTGTTTTGATTGGCACTGTAACATTCTCAAAAATGAACTCACACTCACATGCCTCAGCGATAAGAAGAACAGGAACTGTTGTTTCTTGGCTAAGAAGAGCTCCACATTTACTGAACACTCAGTTTGGCTGCGAGGCAATACACTCAGACGAATCTCTTAAAAGCATGGATTCCTCCTCAAAAACTCGTTGCTTCTCAGGGTGGTTGATCAATCTGACCATTCTGCCATGTCTTTTCTTCCTATGCTGCAGGGTACCAACGTCTCACCTGCCAATCTCCGTGCTTTACGTTACTTACCTCAAACTTTTGTGCAAGAGACAGTTTTTAAGGCTGATGTCAACTGGTGGGGCCCGCTTTATAGCTGAGGCTGCCAATGGTAATACTCAACTGAAATATCAGCGAGAAAGCATTCTGCCCAGCCTGGAGTTAATTATGAGCTTAGATTCAAGGCTGTCTTTCCTAGAACAAGTGGGAGCCATGGTGCTTCCCCCCACTCCCGAGTTCTAGAATACTTTTTCTTTCAAGTCATGTGTGGGGGGGTGGAGGGCTATTTATGACTTAAGAAGCACGATTTGAGGCAAACTCAACCTGAAGAGCTAATATATCACTCCATTCCAAAGCAGAGAATAGGATTTTATTTGGGATTATAGTCTTGAAGGCAGCCTTGATTTTCGGGAATATACTGAGAAAGCCATTAGGTAGAATTGGGTTGGGAAAGGGATTGCTCAATCAAGAAAGAACTTTCTGGAGAGATGTTTGCTTGCACATAGAGAGCAGCTTGTTGGGTGCTAGTCAAGGAGCTCTGGGTCCATCCTACAAGCATCCCTTCAAACATCCCGATCTAGGCATCCTCTCGACATCTTCATATAGGAGTCTGCATGTAGACTGGGGGCCTTCATGATGGGCAGTGGGCTACAGATAGAACCAAGTGCATACAAGTGTGTCAAGGGCAGAGAAGAGGTAGGAGGAACAGTTAGTAATTGAGAGGACTCCAACAGTGCTGATGGAACCTGGCCCTGGAGTAGGAAGCTTAGGACAAGAAAGGAGGTCACAGTGTTCCAAACCCCCGGTATGGCAGCTTACTCTATATGTTTTTATTGCCTGTTTCCAAGTATTAGGGACTGAATGTTTGTGCCCTTCCCCCTCCAATTCATGTTGAAACTCTACACCCCAAGGTGATGATATTAGGAGGAGGGGGGTGGTGGTCTTTGAGCAGTGATTAGATCATGAGGGTGGAAACTTCATGAAGGAAATTAGTGTTCTTTTAAAGGGACCCTAGGGAGTTTTATTTCCTCTGTGTAAAGATAGGAGAAGTTGGCATTCTGCAACCAGTATGAGGGCTTTTCTGAGAACCCTGCCATGCTGACACCTTGAACTGGGAACACCAGACTCCAGAAATAAGAAATAAATCTCTGTTGTTTATAAGTCACCTGGAGTATGGTTCTTTGTCATAGCAGCCTGAGCTAAGATGCCAAGGGTTAGGAACTACACCAGGTACTTCACACACATCATCTCTAATCCTGAGAAGCCCACATCCTTTGGATCTCCGCCCCATTTTACAGGTGCAATCACTGAAAAAAGTGCACAATGAAGGGTTGCGTACCAGGCTCGAGTAAGCCCAGTACTGTAGAAAAGACTGCTGGGAAAAAGCTGAAGCCTGCTTAGAGATAAGACCAAGATGGCATGGCCCATCAGGGTGCTGCAATCACTGGCAAAATGATTATCTGACTGATCTAGAATCTCTGTGAATGCGTTCAAGAACCTGATCTTTAGTGAATATTCTTAGACATTCTGAAACTTGCCAGTGCATTAATCACCTGGAGGTATCATTAAAACAGGTTGTTGGGCCCCAACCTCGGTTTCAGATTGAGTAGATCTGGGGTGAGGTCTGAGAGTCCCCATTTCTAGTAAGTTCCCAGGTGATGCTGATGTTTGTTTCCCAGTCACACTTCATGAACAGCAGCCCTGGGTGAAAGGTCCTGCCCCAGACTGTCCCCTTTTAGGGCTGATTGTTTCCTGTCTGAGATCTTTCAAAACCAGAACGTGGAAACCTAAGGTTATGGCCACTGCCTCTGCTAGGAGGCTGGAAGAGAAAAAGGAAGCTGCCCCTAATTTGGCTGAGTCCTCTTTTGTGGGTGTGATTCAGAGATACTTCCCTCAACCCCAGCAGCCAGCCTTCACCTAGGTACTGAACCAGTACCAGCACCTGGATCTTAGTCTGTGTGTTTCAGGAGGAACACATTGTAGATCAAGAGGTCTCCCCAGTGCATTATGACCTTCCTCTTCCTCACTGCTCAGCTCCTACCCATGTTTCGGAAATCCAAATTCCATGTCTCCTTCTCTGTGAAGCCTTCAAAAACAGTTTGGTTGATCCTGCCTCTGGGTTTTCATTCTGGGCTTCGGCCCCTCTCTTGGAGCTATTGCAATTGCACTGTAGGACATACCATTCACAGTTTGGATGGCCCCCCCAAAGTGTGTGCTCCAGGAGGATGGGGATCATGTGAAATGCATCTTTTTATCTGCAGGGACTAGGACCACCGGACCCTTTAAGCCCTCTTTCAACCCTGGCACAGATCCTTGCCTGTAGTTGGAACTGAGTGATATTTTGCAGAGATCACCAAGGCCTGTAATAATATCACAGAAAGGAAGACGAGTGTCTAATGAGAACATGATTGGAAATAACCAGGACACACATGTGTGCCCGACCATCTGGCTAGTGTTCCCTAGTCCTTTTTTTGCTGATGATGTGGCTAAGTGGTAATGTATAAATGCTGTCCAGAAGGAGTTAGGCTTTGGATGTGGCATGTTTTAAGCAGTCTGTCCAGTTTTCACTAGCCTCTCCATGACAAATCAGAATGTGAACATTCTCTTACCAATAAATGCCCTCGTCAACAGGTCGATTAGACATTGGCACCCACCTCTTTCCATCACCCACTAGAACAAGAGAGAGGGCAAACTGTCTCCCAAAGAGCCTTCAGTCGAAAGCTCAGAACAAACAGTACTTCTCGAAAACATCCTTTCCAATAAGGATCTTATTCCATTATCTTTCTTGGAAGTTGGAAATCTCTGAGTGCAGCATAGGGAAAGTGCTGGGGAGACTGGAGGGGGAAGTTCAGTGTGCCAACAGCACAGCCATCTGAGCCTTATTGAAATGCCTCAAGGCCTCAAGCTATTTATGCAGGCTGGGCAAGAATTCCACATGGGCAAAGAACATCCTGATTAAAAATCCAAACGTTTTCATGGTGAGACTTGTATGTGTCAGGACCATCTGTTGGTGGAATTAATAAACCTTAGGTGCTAATTTGTTAAAGAAAGAGTAGGTGTCTAGAAGCGAGAACAGAGAACCGAAAACAGTCTTTGGTGGCACGAGACAAGGTGAAAAACCTAATTAGAACAGGACTTGGTGTTAGCCCAAGGATCTTTGTGACAATGACCACAGTGTAGCCAGTCCTGCTTCCACACCCTACAAATCAAGTTCCAGAATACAAACTTTTTTGAAAGCCATTTTTCAAAGAATATTATATTGAACCAAAAGACAATCTTATCTTTTGGCCAGTAGCCCTCTGTTTTAGGTAATACATGGGAATGTAAATTCACTTCAGAACGAGAACTGTTTCACACAGAGGACGGTGAGTTGTCCAAGTTCACAAACCGGACAGGAGTACCTTTCTTATTCCCTGCCCCCATATTCTCATCTTTGTCCCCAACATCGTCCTTATCATCTCTCAGCTAGGACCATCACAACTCAACTAAAATCCTGGCCTCCAGTATTGTCTTTTTTGGAAGGACCTACATAAAAGGCACATCTGCCTCCACCATCCCCTTCCAAGGCCCTCAGATAAGTCTATTCCTTCAAGTTAAAGCTCCTGTCTACGCTAAGCCCCCCGGCACACCGGTCCTCAGTGGCTCCCCGGCCACATCCCCAAGGAGCGCCCCTCCGTAATGAACGCCGCGCTCTCTCAACCCTCCATGCTTCAGTGCAAGCTTTCTCCTGTGGACAAAGCCTTCTCAATCTTAACTTGTCATCAGTTGACAGTTATCTTCTACATCTCACTCCTTTGCCACCAGGAAAACCGTGTTCCCCAGGTAACTTCCGTTTGATCCTATCATATCACTTACTACACTATTTAAAATTTGGGGGTCTCATTTAAAGTGAAGACACGCTGAGGTCAAGAACAATGTCCCGCCTGTGTACTTAACCACCGAACTGGAACTGGCTGAATTTAGCTAGACAATGAAAAAGTGAATTTCTTAAAAAATGTACCAGCACAGAAAACGATGTATATTCAATTTTAGCTAGAAGGAAAGGAGCTCCACCGGGACCGGGTAGACTCATTTATTAAAGCTGGGCAGTGACAGCCAGAGAGCACACCATCACCAAAGCTCAAAACATGAAGTAACAAGAACTCACAGTTCGTGTGGCTCTCGTTCCGAAAAGGCTCTCTCTACCTCCCCAGCCGGTCGTCACGTGGGCTCCACCCAGCTCCAGCCGAACTCCCAGGAGCTGACACTACCTACTGGCTCGGGACAAATGAGTGGCAGGTGGAGCAAAATTAGACCACGTGTCCCACGTGCGTTATCTTAAAGTTGTAGTGGACTCTTTTCACCACGAAGGTGTGTTATGAGGTTAGTTTCATTTATTAAAACGAAAAGCAAAGCTCTGTCCCTCTCAGGTGATGAAATGAAAGAAGACGTAAACCTGAGAAGGGGCGTGGGGAATTGGTGGGAAAGAAGTCAACAGTAAAGTACTGGGGTCAGAGTTCAAAAGTCAGTAAGTTTCTTCTTAAAGAGCTGGATAGAAAATATCTTCAGCTTGAGAGCCATCTGTCCTCTGCTGCAACCACTCAGTTCTGCCATTATAGCATAAAAGCCCCCTCAGACAGTATATAAATGAGAGTGGCTGTGTTCCAATAAATCTTTATTTACAAAAACCAGGCAATGAGCCATGTTTGGACTTCGGGCCAATATTTATCTGTACATAGCTTAATGGATCCAAAATGTTACATTTGA